GGTACTCGCCTGCTTGCTTAGAACTTCACAGTCCTCCAAGCACAGCTGGGAACCCGGAGGCTGATGCAGGCGCCCCAAACACACCACCCGAGCTGTTCCAGTGCACCCTGAAGGCGCGAGGGTGCCAAACAAGCTGGGCTGGGGGGGGGCACTTACCCCCGGATGCCAGGCCTCTGGAGCCAGTGGCGCTCACCTGCTTGCTTAGAAGTCCACAGTCCTCCAAGCACAGCTGCGAACAGGGAGGTGCATGCAGGCACCCCAGACCTGCCAGGGTGTACCAGTGCACCCTGAAGTCGTGAGGATGCCAAACAAGCTGGGATGGGGGAAAGTGCGCATGGCACTTATCCCAGACCACCGAGCCTCTGGAACCGGTGGTGCTCTCCTGCTTGCTTAGAACTCCACAGTACTCCAAGCACAGCCAGGATCAGGGAGGCGGATGCAAGAGCCTTAGATGCCCCTATGTACTCCATTGCACCCAGAAGGCGCGATGGTCCCAACAAGCTGGACTCAAGGGAAAGTGGGTGCCCACCTGCTTGCTTAGAACTTCACAGTCCTCCCCCAAATTGACTTAAAATGTTTTCCAGTCCTGGTCATTTAGACTTTAAGGAAAAGCCAAAGGTTGCCCAGGGGCAGCTCTGATGCTTGAGGTGGATGAAGACACACCAATGCTCCAATTTGACAAAAACTGCTGCAAAAATTTTGGATTACTTCAAGACATTCAAGCAGCCATGAAAAGACCCTGATGAAGAAGACATTCCAGAACTGCTTTAGAAAGCAGGAAGAATTACGGGACAAGTGTGTTTGAAGGGAGAGGGAATATTTTGATAGGACTCATGACAAAGTGTTTTTTACTGTAGGAAATATTTAAATTAAAATTAATTATACATGCCAGGCATAGTGGTACATGGATATAACCTCAGCACTCTCAGTAGTCTGAGGCAGGAGGATCGCCGTGAGTTCATGACCAGCCTGGGCTACATAGTGAAACCCTGCCTCAAACATAAAATTAAATTAAATTAAATTAGATTAAATTGTATATTTTGTTCATCCCTCATACCTTTTTTCCATGCTGCTCTGATGATTGTATTTAACCTCATTTTATATTTTCATATAATGAGAGAGAAAGGTCACAGACAATTTGCCATGAGGAAAATAATAATTATAGTAGGCAAGAAAAGGACTGGTTTTATAAAGTCTTACAACAGGCTACTGTGTACTGTAAGTCACATATCTGAAATCACCCTCACTGCAGTGTCTTTTGAGAAGCCTGAGGCTTGCCAGTTTTGATAAGCTTAACCAAGCTCACCCATTCAGAAAAGAGCTAACAAAAAACTTTTATTTTTTTTATTTTGTTCTCCAGGGAAATTATCCTTGACTACTTTAATTTTTTAACTTCATGCCCACTGCAGATACAGCTCTGGGATCAGCAACATGAAGAACAATGTGAGAAGATGTAAAAGAAACTTACCAGTTTTTTTCTTTCTTTTTTTTCAATTTTAGGTCAAGACCGAGTCAGATGGGAACTGCATATTGGAGGGCTGTGCTTGGATGTTTGCATATCTGCTTATACTTGCTCCTCTGTTTTCCTTTCCTATGAGTGTAGGGAAGAAAATTGCATGTTGAGATGCTCGCTCACTTATTTGACCATTTGTGATCTCTTGTTTACAGTATACCACATTGTGTGGACATTTGCAGTAGAAAACTGTATGCCAGAAAACACCTCATGGTGTGCTAATGGGCTCCAACAGGCACTGGACATCCAGCCTTCAGAAATCAGCTGGCTCTGTGGCCAGGGGTGCGCATCCTAAACTGAGTTCTATCAGATGGAGTCACCAAAGCCTAAGTGCATGGGGAACATCAGCCACATACCCTAAGACAGCAGGGCACAGCAGGGCACATCCGGGCTTGGGGCACACAGATGCTGTCAGCTCTAAGAGGATGTGGCCCATGCCCTCCAGTCACCCACTACTGTCAAACTAAGACCAAGTCATCAGTGCACATCTATGGCCGGATGGTAGAGAAGGAAAGGGGTAAACTTAGTAACAGCTTGGCTTGGGATGGGGCTGGGAGCTGACCATCAGAATTCAGATGTGGGTAATAACACAATGCTCATGCAAAAGAATCAACTACTACCCAGGTAGAGAATGTTCCAATAGATTCCTGGGTCCTGGCCAGCAAGCTGCATTTCGCAGTCACTGTTAGACCTGTCCTGTCTCGCAGCACTGGTTCATTGGTTTATTTTCCCCATAAGATGGGGAAAACAGACAAAAACAAAAGTGACGCGAAATCATTCTATCTTTAACTCTGCTTCTTTGATTTGTTAGTGATACGAAATTTCAGGTATTTTGTCTCAGCAATGAGAAAAGTAACTAGGTCACCAGCCTAGATGTGAAATCGGATTGGAAAGTACAAAAATGTCTTCCTTAAGCCTTCTGAGCATCATAAGCTCTCTCCCTGGCCTGTTCTCACCCTGAGGAGAGCGCTTCTTTTCCTGCTTTCATTGGTCCACACTCACTCTACAGAGCATAGTTCCTTTCAACTTTAATAAATATAAAACTTTGCTTCCCTTTTTGTTTAGCCTGACCAATTCTTTGTTTAGGACAACAAGAATCTGGATGGATAAGAAGCCTATAGCACCCCAGAATCCTGACAGCTGGTGACTTCAGCCAGTCTTTGTTGCTGATATGAAAATAAAATAGAAATATTCTTAATCTCTAGGTCCTTCTACATAAGTAAGATATTCCTACCTTAAGCTGTATTTCATACAGTGCCTTCTCTGTTCTATTTCATATTTCCCTAGACTCTGCACTTGTTCCTTTCCCAGCCAAGGAACAGAGATCTAAAAACTCCAGTTTTCATGTTTGGCATACACTGACATCTTGTGAAATCACACTATGAGCGTTAGAGCCAAGCAGACCTTTGTCTCTTCGTGAACAAACGGAGAGTCTTGAACACATTTAGACACCTCTGTGAAACAGATGTTGCCCACATGCAGGACATTCATAAGGACAGAATGAAATGATGTGGAGGGCTGAGTGAAGTTTCTGTCAATCCTGAGTAGGGTCAAATTTGCCCCTGTAGACAGAATTTGCAGTCACATCTCTCTGTTCCATCCAGCACTCCACCTCACACCCTCCCTCAGAGTTCCAGATACCTTTTGGTCTTGGTTTATTCTGATCAGAATAGCAAAATACCATGAACCTGGTGGCTTATGAATAACAGAAATACATCTCTCACAGTTCTGGAGGTGGGACGTGTGTGTGTGCTTGGAGCCCACAGATGCAGTGTCTGGTGAGGACAGGTCTCCCCTTCACAGCAGAATGTCCTCACTGGGTCCTTACCTGGTCCAGGCTTCGAGGCCTCATAAAAGCACTAATTCCATTCACCTGGCTTCCACCCACATAACCTCATCATTTCCAAGGCCTTGTTTCCTAAAACCATCATTTTGGGGTCCAGGTTTCAACATATGACTTTTGAAGACCCTGTGTTTTCAGAACTCAGTACTTTTGAAAAATTATTTTCCACTCAGAATGGGAAAAAGATTTCCTCATCAAGATGTTTCCAAAACCCCTAAAAAATGACTGAGTGGACCAGGCTGAGATACCCCCTAAGGAGGCCTTCACCTTGGGGTAGTCCCCAACTTTGATTTCTACCCCATTTTCTTCTATGATTGCCTCTATCACTGTACAGATCCCTGGGGCAGAAGCAGCATAAAAACGTGCTGGCTAGAAGCAGTTCTGTAGACTGGTTAAAACCACACACACACACACACACACACACACAGAAAGGTGAATACATATCAATTAATGAAACAATTAAACATGTTATCCAAAGCCATGCCATCTTGGCCCATAGACTTTACCACTAGGCTTAATAACATTATGGAGATTTTGTGCCCACTGTCAGAACTCAGACGTGCGTAATAAAGCAATGCTTGTGCAAAAAAAGCAACTGTAAGCAGGTAATGAGAATGTTCTGATAGATTCCTGGGTCCTGGCCAGCAAGCTGCATTCCTCAGTCACCGTTAGACCCCTTCTCTTCTCACAGCACTGGTTCATTGGTTTATTTTCCCCGTAAGATGGGGAAAACAGACAAAAACAAAAGTGTTGCAAAACTATGTTCTCTCTTAACCTCTGCTGCTTTTATTAGTAATAATATATGAAAATATTCTCAACGATAAGCAGCAAAATAAAAAATATCTCCTTATATAATTTGCCCTTCCACTGGATCGAGGACAAACCATGTAATGTCTCTTTCCAAGGTTTTTATCTCAATTTAAAGATGGGGAGCAAGCGAAATAAGAGAATTCATTTCTGCAAGCTGATGTGCACAGAACAGGTCTCCAAACCAGTGAAAGAATTTAAGCAAATGTGGAAACAAAGAGAAGATGAAAACAAAGTCAGTGGGCAGTTGGCTAATGAAGTAGCTTTCATATAAACTGTTAATCAACAACTATGATGAAGTATCTACTATTTGGGTTCAGAACTATGCCATCTACTAACAAGGTATAAAGGAGAGTGTTTCCAAAAGGGAATATTTACTTTCAGTGATCACAGAAACCTTGTAAGGCAGCCAGGTGGGGAGGAGTGAGCTTGATTTTTAGGCAGTTTAGCCATCTATTCGAGGGTTTTGTCACAGTACCAAAGCTGTTGTGCAGGGTACATCCTCAAGGCCAGTGTCTCCACCTGCCATGAGCCTGCAGCAGCCAAGCTGTCTTCAGGGATTACTCAGGTGGCTGAGTCTCCCTATGGTCAGGTCATCCTGCCTCTGTGCCACCTGAGGTCCCACAGGACAGTACACAGCAATTTCTGAGTTACATTGCACTTTGCTCCTGCCCAGCAAAAACAAGAATCCATTCTCATTTAGGTGTGGATGATTTGTTCTGTCTTTTAAACTGACCTGGATACGTTGATAACCCTTAAGCCGGTGTTTCTCAGTGATGACACGTTTTGGAATATCAAAGCCAATAATGGCCATTCTGAGGTTCCAGAATGGGGCAACTTTCCTGTGTAGCATAAAGGAAAAGGATGCTTCTGAAAACAAATGTACAGAACTTTAGAAAGAGAAAAGGGGGACAGGAAGCTGGGTAAGTACCTTACACATCTTTGACATTTGCCCAAAATCAAATGACTAGCAAGCGGTGGAGCCAGAACCAAGATAGTTAAATATCTTTCAAAACCACGGATGGATTTCTGCACCTTAGAAAACCACTTCTGACAACACCAAGCAAATCCTTTCCCCCAGAGTATAGCTGTACAACTACCAAATCCATCTGTACAAATACCCCTCCAAAGATGCACAGTAGCCATATTTACTCAATTGAAACAAGAAACCAAGTCACTGATCTAAAACACAGTTCACTTGTTTGGACAACTTAATAAAACACTGGAAGTTTAGAAAATCAGAGCACACCAAGAGCTATGAATACAAGACCCACAGAAACCACTGCTGCAAATGAGTCAGCTGAGTTATAAATATATAATAACAGAATTTACACAATAATAAATATTGATGTGCCATTTAGCCTGACCTAGTACCATTGATATTTTTTGTCAGAAAACAGAACTGTTATGCTTAAAAATTTCTGAAGTGTAGAAAGCAGTTATAATTTTAAATGCCTAGTCATAAACCAAATACCACAGTAAGCCTTCTTTAATTTCTTCTTGTTGAGACTAATAATGACCTGCAAATATCATTGCTCCAGTGTCTGATGTCGCTAAAATATTGAACACTGGGACCAGGATGAGCTGGCTGGAGACTGGTCTTGTTTTAGTTGAGATCTTGGTCCCCAAATATTTATTCCTCAATTTGGGTTATGCTAGGGCCATAAAGATAAATATCCTTTTCACACAAAGAGCTTCTTATCCCCTGGGAGGAAAAGGTGGGGAGTTTCAGCCCAGGAGAACATGGAGGTCTGGAGGGTTAGCTCCTGTTTGCTCTGCAGAAGGAAACAAGCCAGGAATACCAGGTTCTGGAATATCTCACAGTCTTTCTCTTGGCTTGGATCACTGCCTGGTACTCCTGTCTGAACCACAAAACTTACTCAAGTGCTATCTACCTCTGAGCAAACATAATTCTTTCCTGCTTTCTTTCTGAGTAGGTTGCAGTAAGGATTTGGTGAATGAATGAATGATCTTAATGTAAAGAAAACACTTTTTCTTGAGTAAAATGTCAAAACAAGGCACTCTGAAACAGGAAATGGCAGGTTTATAGCTGTGTTTCTCACTTCTACAATATTGCCTTTCTTTTCCTTCCTCCAGCTCCCATTCCCAGTCAGTCGCATTGCCTGCATTTTAAATGTCATGGACACCTGCCTTTCCCATCACCAATTGAACTGCAAATTTAGTTCTGTAAATACCTTCTTGTTCATTACCTCCCTGTTCAGAAATAATCATCACAGCCCCGTTTCCCATGATAGACATTCTCGGCAAGGAATTGGCAAACGATCTGCATAAAAGATCAGACTGCATGCACCTTTTGCTTTGAGGCTCCAAGAGTCTCTGTTGCAGTTGCCCCAACCTTGCCCTCTGCCACTGCAGGACAAAAGCAGCTATGGGCATATGGTATCTAAGCAAGTGAGCTCACTATATTCACATCTAACTCTGATCATGATTATTTCACGCTGTGTTCACAAGTTCTCCTTTTGATTTTTTCACAATCACTTAAGATAAAAAAAACCCTACCTAGGTCATGAATCATCTTAAAACAGATGGTAGGCTGGATTTGGGTGTACAGTTTGCAGACTTCCAGATCTAAAGTCCTTTAGTCTGACATGCAAATTAATCAACATTGATGATCCAACCAGATCACTCATCCCAATGCATCACCAACTGCTAAATTTTAAACCATTTTCTTCTGTGAGTGTACTGTGTACCCAACCATCTCAGTAACTTTGCTAATATTTCTGCTTCCATCCAGCTCCCAAGACTCAGTTTAAGTGCCACTTCTTTCATGAAACTTTTCCTAATGATCTGATCTTAAAATAATGTCTTCATTCTTCATAATAGCAATTTCCGCCTAGCTGTGCATTAAGCAATTTGCATACACCGTACCCTTTAAATCTCCAACAATGGAAGGGATGTTATTGGAATCTTTTTGCAAATAAGCAACTGAGATTCAGCATGATTATGTACTCACTGTGATAACAAATGGACAAGCTAAGATTCTGAGATTTTTTAGAACCTCAAAGCCCATGCACCACCTTTTAAACCCCAAATAGCACATTTGTTCGTATTTTATTTGTATTTCTTTTATGATTCTGATTTTATTTCTAACTACTATTGGGGCTATTTGCATGGATTTCTTCATCTTTTTTCCACAGTCTGGAATGTCTGAAGACACAGTTTCTGTGATATTCGTATTTGTATCCTCAGGGGGATTTGCGTAGAATACTTAATACATCTTTGTTGAGAGAATGAGTACCATTCAATCATACTTGTAGTAATGATGTCTTATTATTAACTTTTGTGCCGATTTCCTGAAATCACTACAAATGATGAAAGAGAATGAACCTGCCTTCTTTTATTTTTGCAGAAAGCAAGGCAATAAACAGAATATAAAAACTTATTCCTGTTATTATCTGTGGAAAGATTTTTTTGTGCTGAAGTAAAAGCAGCACAGATACAAATATGAAATGCATTTTGGACAATTGTTTTGTACTTTAGCACTTTCTTTTAGAAAAAAAGAAAAAGTTCAGAACTGTTGTTGATGAGTCCCATTAGCATATGCACACTGAGATTGGCATGGTATCGCTCCACAGTAAACAGATTTTGACATCAACAACACTGGTCAGTGGCACACATCCTGCTCTCGGCCTGGCTCACGATAGGTTCAGCCTCTATCTCTGTGGCACATTTGGGTCATTGGGAATGGGACTTCTGTCTGGCTGAGGCATTTGGCAACAGGGGCACAGGCATCAACAGTGGGCATTTCTTTTGCAATTCAACTGCCAAATCTAAAAAGTGACCGATCCTCCTGGCTCTGATGTTAAATCTGAAAATATTTTTGCTCTTTTAGATGTGATACCTGTTAGGTTATTATGTAAAAGCTTAATGCATTGAGAAGCAGCCTGGCATAATGACGGAGTCTGCGTTTTGGCACTGAAGGCTACCCGTTCACCCACTTCCATGCTTCATATCACACATCTGAGTTTTGTTTTCATTGCTTGCAAAGTAGAGAAAAATAATCTTATCTTCATGAAATTTCTAATAAGGAAGACAAGTGTCCTAAATCCTTAGTGCAGTCTCTGGTCCACAGTAGTGCTCAGTAGCTGAAGGTCCTCCCTTCTTTCTATGCTACAGTACTACTTTGGAAATAAGAACTAACCTCACTTCATTAGTGAGTGTACAGCCATGGGGTTTTGCTCTTTTGTTTTGTCTTCCACTGGTAGGTTGCTATTTCAGGAACACAATAGCTAAAATCTGACTTGTGAAAGATAACTGTGAGAGTTAAGATCCCCATTTGAAATTGATGTCTGGAGAACAGAGAACAAGCTGTGTGTGTTGTGGCTGTATTGGAAGCCCATGACTTTCAGACCCAAGAAAGAGAAAGGGAGTTTCCAAGAGAAGCATCCATGGTGTGCTGCAGCCCCAGGGCTCACGGGCTTCTGGCACTGCTGTGGAGTAACCGGCTGTCCCTGCTCACAGTTCCTGTCACGCACATGCACACCTGTCTCCCTGCTGTGGTCCCCTTCTTCCTGCTTAAGGATAAATCTCCCAAATGATGCTGTTCCTTTTTCCTTTCAACCTTTCTCCTCCATACATGAACACATTCATATTACCCCTAGTCATTTTTTTCTACCAAAATCATATGCATTCCCCATAGGTGATGTTTATCCCCTTTCTTCTCCGCAGTTTATTCAATTATTTTAAGATCCTCGGTCTCCTTTTCTGTGCTGTAACTTTCCTGGGCATTTAGGCGTCCTGACTTCTTAAGCTTTCCATGTGTCTGTCAAATAAAAGGAAGCATTACAATGAAACAGGAAGTCTTACTGTGAAACACTTTTCAGGGTGTCCTCAAGGTCCGAAACCCTTAAATTTGCTCAGAAGCACATTTTAGAAATCCCATGCTCTGCATCTTTCCAAATTCATTGTTTAGATACATGAATTCAATGAAAACAAATGAAATTTCATTTCTTCATCAGGGCTTCATATTTGGTATCATTGCACCAAGTTTTCAATGAGCTGATTTAGCCTTGTAGCTAGAGTATTTGTTTACATTGTATTTAGGCAGGCTATGGCCGAAATAGGGTACTAACCATAACTCACAATAATATCTGTGTAAGTGCAAGGTGTTAGACCTCAAATGACCCACATGCAAATACATATTTGGGAGACAGGTTTTCTGAGTGACAGTTGCCACTGGATATAAACTATAGGCAGCCCATAGGCTGTATCCATAGGTATCCATACCAAGAGATTTGAGAAACAAATGGTAGAAAATATTCAGATTACAACTGTATCTGTCTCGAACATGTCCATATTTTCTTGCCATTATTCCCTAAATAATACAGTATAGTAATATTAACATTTCACATTCTGTTACACATTCTAAGGAACATAGAGAGTATATATGGAGGTATGTGTAGACTCTATGTGAATACTATGCCATTTATATAACAGATGAGTACTACACGTTCTTACACCCACTGATTTCCTGAAACCAATCCTGCATGGACACCCACAGATGGTTATATTTATTGACTTTGTAAAATTCATAGCTCACTTTATATAGTGTAAGTCACATAGTTTGTTGCTTTCCTTATTTCATGGAAAGTGCTAGTGATCACATTTGTATACTTGAACAGCTGGGCTCCTCAGTTTCTTGAAGCCCTTAACCAGAACTCGTCAGTGTGAGGTTAGTGGCTACCCTGGGGGAAAACAGTGAGTATGTGTGTGCCTCTTTTTCCTAGAGTCTTCCCCATGTAGCATGTTCTTGTAAACACGCTAGTCTCTGACTAAATTTGTAGATATTCATTTTTTATTAGTAAAGCAGAAAAAAACAAGAGTTTCATAAATTCTACAAGCTTGATGTCTTTGTTTTCTGTTCTTTTAAACCCTCTACAAATGCATTGGAGGAAAGATTAGCTTGAGACAAGCCCATGATATTCCAAAAATAGAATTCAACCAACCTCTACTAGGGATTAAATCACAGGGCGCTGCACAGAGAGCTAACAGCCTGGATGTAACACCAAGTCTTGATTTGGAAGTAGAATAATTGTATCTGATTTTTATCATGTGCTCATACAATAGCAAACGCTTCATTATCTACTTGACCAATTCCATGTATCGTGGACCAACTAACTTCACCAAGTTAAAACAATATTTAATATCCATGATTCTAAGTAATAAATTCCCTTATATGAATCACCCATAAAGATGAATCTGTTCTGTAGCCACTTTATTAAGAAATGACAAACACACTTTAAAAAGTGCATAGTGTACTGTATATACTTTGAAGCACATGGAGATAAGTATATACTCATGAAAACGGCACAGCAATGCTATAAACATAACTTTCTATGAGCATCAACAATCCATGGGCTTCTAATTACTCTTTCAAACACTAAATTAGAATATGTATTGCCAAAGTTCACTAAGTAGAATAATACTAATGCATACCCACATGTGCAGGTGTGTGCACACACACAGCGCGCCAATTAATTACATGAAATTTAAACCAATTGAAAATTCCAAATTCCAAAAGAGTAAAGTTTTATGGACTCTTGCTTTTTCACACAAGGGGTCTGATGCAGCTGAAGAACATGAGAAACGGGAGAGCCATGAATGCCACAGACACTGAGCGAGCCTGAGACACTACCGTCAGTACATGGTAGAGAAACGCGGAAGCTCCCTAGAAGAAACTAAAAACTGCTATGGCTCAGCACTTTCTGAAAGGTCATAAAAGAAGAAGCCAAACACAGGAAAAGAATAGTTAAATGACGTGACCTGAAATTAAGAAAGCCATGCTAAACAAGGACTTATTTTCCTGCACTGTGATATTCTTTTAAGAAAACCAACTGTGCAAAATAAATGATTGCACATAATCAACAATGTAGATTGACTAATTTGTTTTCATTTTGTGCCAGGGGAATTTTTGTGCTAGGGGAAGTTTCCAAGATATTAATTTGAGATTGGGTCCTACAATTAATATAAAGTACATAAGGGTGCTGAGTGTCTATAGTTAGGATTAAATTAGCCTAAAAATTAGGTTTAAGATGGTGTGGATATCTGAAATAAAGCAACATATCTTAATTATATAACGTATTTGATTAGTAAGTTAATTAAGTCATCAAACATAAATTAATAATTATGCATTAAATATATTAGAAAGATTGAATCATTCATAATTATTTTAAAATGCAACCAATGAAAGCAACAATCCGCTTTTTGTTAGCTGTGAAATCTGAGATCTGGGCAGAAAAAACAAAACTTCTTTAAAATATGGTGGGCTAGGGGTGTAGCTCAGTGGTAGAGCAAATGACTAGCATGCTTCAGGCCCTATGTTCAACCTAAAGAATCTCAAAGTTAATATAAAGAAAAAAAAGTAAAATAAAATATGATGCTAGTTATCCTTGACCTATTTATAAGCTGAGCAAAAACAGTGTTTCAAAAGACAAAAATATTTTATCACCCAGTTCTCAAATGTTTTCACGGTACAGGCTTCTCCAGCTTAATCTCCAGCCTCTTTGATGATAGGCTTCCACTGCATTCCAAGGCCTCCAATTCCACTGTCTCTGGGCTCTGTGTCTGACAGACCACACCCCATGAGTGTTCCTTCAACAGTGTATACTCAGGATCTGTTGCAGGCACATCATCTCTGGGACTCAACATGAAGCAAATGACACAGCTCTTTTTTGCTTCTCTGAGATTAGCATTCTAACTGGGGAAACCAGTAAGAATAAACATAGGTGCAAGAACCAGCTAATCTGGACTGCAAGACACACACTCTGTCAAACAAATGGACCAACAAAAACAGAATGGCCATAGAGAAACCTATGGAACTCACTGAACGTCTAGAGAAAAAATGCTTCAATGCCTGGTGACTGGGGGTAGACCTGAAGAGTCACAGGGAACAACAAATACAAAAACCCTCAGGAGCAAGGCCCCTGGAGAATTCAGGAGACCCAGCATACCCAGACATCTAGAGCAGCATCTGTGAGGACAGACCCTGGGAAACGAGCCAGCACCATTGGATTGGAGGGACGTGGAGGAACGGGTGGAAAATCAGGCTCCAGACAACTGCTCAGGAGAGAAATGCAAGTGGAGCTCAAAGAAGACATAAACGGTGAACAAATTAAAAATCTGACCTCGTGCACTGGAAACTGTCCCTCCTCATGCCCTACCAGCTTCATTTCCTTGTCCTCTGTGTCCCCTGATTGGGTAGCCCTCTGCCATCCTGCTACTTCCCCTTTGAATGTGTCTCCTCTTCCTGTGACAGAGCTTTAAGGATAGAACAATGTCTAGTAGTCAGCAAAGAATAATCCTTACACTGGAGTGGGAAGGCCTTCCTCATAGCCCTTTGAAGACCTTTATTCTGGATCAGAATGGTTGGCAGCTCACTGAGCATCTCCCCCAGTAGACAGGGGACCTTCTAAAGCTCCTAAGTTGCTCTTGTCACAACTGTAACCCAGAGCTGCTTATCTGCTTCTTTTATACATAGTAGAACAGCCTCACGTACAGCTGGCGTTAGTTGGCTATTTATAGAAGAATAAACTAAGCACAGAAAGGTCAAACCATTTTCTAGTCAAAAAGCTGGAAAACAGAAGAGCTAGGGCATGAGCCAAAGCAAGAGTGTGCCTGAGCAGCCTGCTTCAGATGCTGCTGCGATATGACCGAAATTTTACTGAGCTGTCTGAGCCCTCTTCCCCCCTAGACTCTGTGGCCATGTCACATTCACCACCTCTCCCACTGTCTAGCGGAGCGCCTGGCAAATCGGGATCTCGTGGTTGAACAGATGGGAGTTTGAGGAAATTCTAATTGGCTTTTGATCTTGTCAGATGAATCTAGCTGAGGCCGCAATTGATGGCTTTTGAAGAAAAAACTGGATTTCATCTCTATCGATCAGCATTAGAGCAGATGTGATGTATTCAATGTACTCAGTGTACTTCAATGTACTCAGGTGGGACAGAATTGTCCCCCATTACTTAGGATCCCAAAGATACCCAGAGCTTTTCTGGGCCTCAGAAGGTGGGGATACAACTCAATTCCCTGATGTGCCAATCTGCTGCAAGATCATTAGGTAAAGCAGGGAGGATGACACAGTTTAAACCAAGCCCCTCGGCAAGACAGATATCTCAAAGGACACCTGAGCAACAGATACTAGTAGTGAGCTGTTGGAGAAGGGTAATCATTTTTTGTTTTCAAGGACAGGAGAATGGATTGTTGTTTGATTTCATCACTGTACGTTAAACAACAGGTCAGTGTGGCACAGTGAAACAATTCAGAAAGGTCTTAGAATCAAAGAACTAACTCACTCTCTAGTTCCGGTCTACTTTGAGATTTCTGTTTTGTGAAACAGGATAAAACCCTTTCCCTTTATACCTCCAGGGGTTACTATGAGAATTTAATGAAGTGATGGATATGACATTGATGTACCAAACAAATCTGCGTTACTCAATAGAGGGAGATTATAATCTTATTATTACATGGAACTTATTACATAGGATTCATTGTTCTAAGGCTTGATGGAAACTCGATTAGTCTCCTAGCATTTCTGCCCACTTTAAGCCATAATTGTCAGTTGCATTGCTACAAGTGTTTCAGCTTTTCAGTAATCACAGCATGAAGCTTTATCCAAAAATAAATCTTTTATGCATCCCACAGCGAGACTCTTTGTCAGGAGGTCCCCGAAGCCAGCCATGGTTTTGCTGACTTGATGGGAAGATCTGAAGGATCCTGCATTTAATAGTACTTATGCCTCTTTTATTTTGGCAAAGAAGTAAAGACTTACAGACAAATCCTAAGCATTTAGACACAAGCATTCATAGTCCTCTCCTAACAGAGTCACATGGGGTAAGCTTAATTCCCCCAGCTATGAGCTGTAACAACACATATTTTTTTACACACTGACAGCCAACGAGGCTTGTGAGTGGCACAATATCCAGTCTTGACTGAGGGCTTATCACATAGGCATACCCCCCTTCCATAGGTGGGACTCCAGATCCCAGAAAGGAAATCAGGAGAGTAGAGTAGAATGGTCTGCTTGCACAGGGAGTCCATGCAAGGAGAGTCACCCCTATGCATCAGGGAGATAAGAACTCTCCCGCAGTCCTGTCCAGACTCTAGCCAAGCAGGTACTGCTAAGGGAGAGATACCAGCTCAGCCCAGGACTTCTTCAGACTGCTGTTCTCAGGGCAGAAAAGTACTCGCCTTTTCTGCATCTCCTAGATACCTACTCTCTTTCAAGAAGGGGTGGGACAGGAGGCGAGATGAGAGGAGCAAGCAATTTCTCATTTACTGCCCCCACCAGGGTCTGGCTGCTGGTTAAAGGAAAGCACTGTGTCTTGTCGGTGTCCCCGTGAGATCTTCAGGCTCTGGATTTAGCAGAACTTTCTGTGTGAGAAGACACATTTTCCTCAACCAAGGTGCCCCTCACCCCTGGTTTTCTGGGAGATCACTCCACAGAGGACTCCTTTAAACTGCCATCACTCAGGGTTTAAAATAGCAGCCAATGCACAGCCCACATGTGGCACATGAGAAACACTGGCAATTTCTACCCCAGTAACGCTCCGGTACTAGGTTGTCCATCACAGCTACCCCTCTGCAACCCCAGCTGACTGAGAGGCAGACACAGCCCAGCTGCTCCTTAAGCTGTAGGGATGGAGAGTCGTACTTTGAGAGTGGTCCAGGCTCCTCTTTTCCATTCTCCTTCCTCCACTGGTAACTGGGAGGAAGGAAGGAGGAGGATGGGGAACAGGGAGCAGCTCATGGCACACAGCAGCTCTCTCCAGAAACCACTTCTGTAAATACTCCAGGAATTTATTGCAAGGCTCATTTTGATATCTAAAGTTTGGTGTTTTGAATGCCTGACTTCAAATTCATCAATTCTTGGCACTTTGTTTTTGTTTTTTCCCTTAGCACTTTCTGCAGCAGCTCTGAAAATGCTCTTTTCATAGGTGTCTTGGGTTGTGCTATTGTGGCTGCCTTGATTAGCCTGATTCAACTTTAAATGTTCACCTTTCCTGGGCATTTTGACTCGGGGTGAGGGGCAGGGCAGAGGTGGCTGCTGGATCCGGTGAATGAGGTGCCCAAGGACACACTGCAATGTCCTTTGTGAGCTTGTCTTCATGCCAGCTGGCACTTGATGGCAGAATTCACTGTGTTTTTATCATAATTTGGGAAGACACTCAAGAAGGAGGACTTTCAGAACTGCTTTTGCAGTTGGCAAGAATAGTGGCATAAATGCATTCAAAGGGAGGGATAATATGTCACTTTTATTATAATTTTTAAAATTTAAACACTCACTATATTTTTTATCATACTTCCTGTATAGTAAAGAAGACACACCTTTCCCCAAATTATATAAAAATCAGGATCTTTAAAACTTAGAAAACGTAACTTACTGCAATAAATATTTTTTATGCAAACAAATACCCAATTCTTTGATCAGCTCTGTGCATATGTGTGTGTTACAAATACTAAGCATTGAATATTTATTTGGAACAAAATAATGATAAAAATGAGATTTTTTTTTTTTTATGGTACTGGGGATTGAGCTCACAACCTCGCACTTGCCAGGCAGGCGCTAAACCCCCGGCTAAAAATGAGAATTTTAAAACCTTACAAACACTCTAAGTATTACAAAACTCATAAAAATAATACTAATAAGGGCCAATACCAAAAATAATACTATAAATAATTTACTGAGAATACCAGTGATATTTTTACCTATATTTTTAGATGTAAACTCTCTAATCTTCTCTATATAAGAGAAAAACTATATAATATTTTCAACAGCATGAAAAGAAGGATAATCTTGTCTTTTGTATAGCATAGTTGTTTGGAATTTATTTTTATTATTGAGCATTACATAATTTCCTTTCAGTGTTGTG